AGGAGCAGGCCCTGGGCACTCGAGCAATAGAGGCCCAGATCTAAAACACCAGACAAGACCCACGGTGTAGACTGTGCAAAGAGGCTCCTGAGACAGTCCAGCACATAACTGCAGGGTGTAAGATGCTGGCAGGAAAAGCAAACATGGAGCGACATAACCAAGTGGCGGGCATAGTGTACAGAAACATCTGCACAGAGTACGAGCTGGAGACCCCAGGATCAAGGTGGGAAACACCTCCAAAAGTTGTGGAGAACGACCGAGTCAAGATCCTGTGGGACTTCCAGATACAGACGGACAGAATAGTGATGGCGAACCAACCAGACATAGTGGTGGTGGATAAGAAACAGAGCAGAGCCGTGGTGGTGGACATCACAATACCAAGAGATGGTAATATCAGAAAAAAGGAACACAAGAAACTAGAGAAATACCAGGGGCTCAAGGAGGAGCTGGAGAAAGCCTGGAAAGTAAAGGCATCAGTGGTGCCTGTGGTGATCGGAGCACTCGGGGCTGTAACCCCCAAACTGGAAAAGTGGCTACAACAGATACCAGGAAAAACAACGGACATCTCCAGAAAAGTGCAGTACTGGGAATGAGGGCGAGAGAGACCAACCACTGTGGAAGGTGAGAAATACATTTTATATATAATATTATATATATATATGTGTGTGTGTATGTGTGTGTATGTATATGTATGTGTATGTATATGTATGTATATGTATGTGTATATATGTATATGTATATATGTATGTATATATGTATGTATATATGTATGTATATATGTATGTATATATGTATATGTATGTATGTGTATGTATATATGTATGTATATACATACATACACACACACACACACACGTACGCACACACTGTTTATTAAATAGTGACTTTAAGTGACATATATGGCATGATACATGATTTGAATAAAGATTGCCTGTGTCATCCTAGTCTTAACAAAATAATCTATGGAAAACACTCCCTCCACTGTGAACACGGAAAGCAAAGGTACGTTCTGTGTCTGTACACCAACAACATGGCACAGTCCCCTGATGCACAGAGCCACTCAGGCACCTCCCATTACTTTCCAGGGTCTTTTAGAGAATTACATTACCCCATGAGGGGCACTTTATCTGCTGACTGTCCTATGTGGTTTAAGAGAAGCATTAGAGTTTTATTGATTTATAACAGCACATCCATTGGAGTCATCAGCATTAAACTCACCTATGTAAAAGAAAACTTTTACAAAGACTGACTTTTGTGCACTTGTGGCTGAATAAAATCTGACAAGAAAATGGTGTTTTAACATCACAGAAATCCTGAACATATTGTGTGAGCTTCAGCATATCTAATGTGGCATAATTAACTCTAATTTAGCATATTTGATGTAAAAAAAAAAAAGACATACCATAACCTATCAAATCATAATTAAAAATCTGCATGTCACAGATAATTCTGAGATTTATAGTCTAATTTGTGTGTATGGATGGAACTATTTAGTAAACTGCATGCTGTTTCCTTAATTACTGAGGTCTGGTCAAGTGAAAAACGAAAATCAACAATTTATATGGATGATGACAAACTAGAAATATGGTTACGATGCATGTCAGAGCAAGTGTTGAATCACACTAACAAGGTCTTCTACAACACAGGCTCTGTTTGTGAACATCAGCATTCTTTTGTCTTTAGTACAGGGGCCCTTCCCCCATGCATCTCATATAGTGCCTTCATATTATCCCATATGCTTACATCAATGTAGGACATATACTGGAGCTGGACCAGCTGTGTTTCTAAATGACACAATCTTGTTGCATGATTATTTATTCAACAGAATTAAATAGTCTAAAATAGGTGTGAATATTAGCAGGTAGACATCTGCCTCAAACCACAGGCAATGGTCAGTGTCTCACATACTCAGAGCTGCTGTTATAGTAGCCTTCCTCAACCACAAAGTGAGATGTCTGCATTTTTGTGGTTAATGTTATAGTATTTTTTCCTGATAAACATCAACTGATATATTTAAAAGGCACATTTCTGTTTGATTGACATAATATTTTGTGTATATTGTAAAAAGGTATACTCACAAAAAAGTAAATTGTTTAGGTACTGGGAATTCTGACACAAATAGTCATGTGTGAATGACCTAAATTTAAAAAAAGGGTAGAACCTTGTAAAGAACTTGACCAAAACATTGGCTCAGCAACAGCCAGACCCTGCCCACTGTGAAGGATTAGGATGATAATGACTTGCTTGAACAGGATAAATCAGTACTGCAGAAGTAGTTTCCTCACTCAAACCTGTCATCACCTGATAGTTATCTATGTATCCGGCTGTCACTCTCATGTTTGCACGCATATATTACTCAGATTTTTGTCTTCAATGAGCCATTCAGATCACCCTTGACCCTGTCTACATGTTGGTCAAAAAGATGAATAGGTGAGAAGAGGATCACGGATCTCTAGTAAAAAGGTCATGAGCATAACACAGCATAAAGTCAACATATAGTTAATAAACTGTTCTTTTGTAATGGATGCCTTATTCAAGAACAGCTGCAAAACAGGCACTTTTTGCTTTATCAGTAATCTGAAATGTTTCAGTGGTCTGTCACTAACATACTAAGAAATGGCACTCAGTGCCCTTAAAGGGGCACTTTCTAGATGTTCTGGCAGCATGGGGTCTCATGTCTCACCTCCTACTGATCTCTGGTGATGCAGAGAAGACAAAGGTCTATGGATGCGACTGTGGGTATTTTGTGTAAATCCTCAATGTTGATAAGGCATTGCTGGTGGTATCACATTCACATGTTTCCCTTCAGTTAATCAGTTACTATAAGAGACCATCAAGGTTATTTAAAACGTAAGAATGGACAAAAATGCATGTAGAAGCCATCTGTTAAAGTCAGGAGCTTCTTTGGAGCACCTGAGCTGTAACTCTAAGCTAGGAACAGATTGAATTACACACGCACTTCAGTTACAAACACAACAGTGGTGTGCCTTCTGCTTTTACACACATAAAAGCATCACACTTCTACACCATAATAGTGGGACTAAAACTTAAGTCACAAATTAAGTTGTGGTCCTTTCAAAAAAATACATTATAAAACATTATCATCACCAACTTCAAAGGGCAGTCATGTTCTTCCCAAAAGAGCAGTCTCAATGTTTTACTGCTGAGGTGAGAGAAACCAGATTGCACAGACAGTGTAAGCACAGTTACTTAATTACTTCTCAATCCAGATTTAAGCCTTGTATGCAGACCTACATCCACAATTACAGCTAGAAATCCTCATCAAGGAACATCACACAGTCTGGTCCCTTTATTTAACAATGCATACTAAAATTGAGACTATACTAAACATACAATTAATTCTATTCATTTTTAACTTAATATTACAGAAAGTACCAGTGAGTGAACTTAACTCAACAATGTTAAACCCTATAACTGTTCACAAGGAGGGTTAATAGTGAGATGTTACTCCTGGCATGTTCCACAGTGTTGCATTTTCTATCTTGTATATCTAGGACAAACAGTGTCACAAGTTAAACACACACACACAAGTTAAAGGCAAGAAAAATTGTGGAGAAATTTTGCTAACAGGCAGGATGCATATTTTTCAAACAAAAACACATGCAACAGAATAACTGCCAGAAAGACAGGTTTAATGCAATACTGCAGAATAATCCAAACAAAATAACAGATCACACCATCTCCCTACCTGAACAGTAGTGCACCTATAAGATAAGGATTTAACAGTGTATTCATCAACTATAGAACACAATAACCAGATAGCAACACAACAATAAATCTAAATTCCTGAAATTAGGTTTATTTATTCTTAAAGCAGTAATCCCTAAAACAAATAAGTTACTTGAAGCAAAATACAAACATACTGATAACAGTACAACGAACAATGCTGAGGAGTGAGGTGTCAACAAATGGCAGGCTGTTGTTTGAAGTGTAAACTTCCTTCAGGCCTCAAGAGATAAAGAAGTGTGAGACTATACATATTAGCTTGTAGGCAGGTTTAGACTTAAGGAACACAAACACACACACACTCAAAAAAAAAAAAACTTTTCCAATTATTTGCTAGGAGCTAGAACCACTTCCATAGTTAGTACTACTTTGATTTAGAGGAGGCAGATAATGCACAGTCCTGCTGAAAACCTTTAAGGGCAAAAGAAACTACAGTGTGACCTTCCCATGTCCAGGTGACATTGTGCCTTCTATCATGTAGTGTAGTTGTTGTAGATAACTACCTGAAATTGCACAACTGTGACATGACAAACAACACAACTGTCACGCGCTTAATACCTAAATTGCTACAATATGTAGGTTAAAATGTAGGCTAGACTTCAGTTCAGTTTATCAGATATTACACGAGTTGTTGATTTATTAAACAACATAAACTAAAAAGGTAACGTTACATGATTTCGTTTAGTGGTAATTCGGGATTAAGATCACATTGTACACGAAGTTTGGTTCATAATAGTTGTTTTGAAATAGTATTAATGAAGTAAGTGCTTCATTAGTAAGCCTGGTGGTAGCCGCTGTATAAAAGCGTCGTGACGGGCCTCGTAGTGGAAACAGTCATGGCAACACACACTGAAGTTAGTGTTCAGTTACGACGCTAACGTAACGCCATGTGGTCAATCAGACAGAAATTATAAATATTTTGACAAACAGTTCACGAAAGCTTATTGAGGTGCGAATAAAAATCAAACAACGAACCAATCGGTGCCCTTTATCTGCTCCTTTAGCCCGTTAACCGACTCCATTGGCGTAGCACAGCCGTGGCGAATCTCTGGACATTTCAGCGTTAAAGCCAAGTATTTGATAAAGGCACGGGTTCTTGTTTAAATGTTTAAAAAGACTCGAGACAACTAAATTGTTAACAACCCAAACAGGTTGAATCCAACGACCAGAGAAATCTCCTGTGGTATGGTGCACATCTGTAACTAAACGATAAAAGAACAGAGACAGATGCGATACTTAACCATCATACGTACCTTCCCAATACAAAATGTGTTCTCGTGTTTTCCAGTCAATTTATCTTCGGATTGCTGAAGCCAGTTAACGTCAAAATGTGGATTGAAGTTTACTGTCCGCCGCCGCTGACCACCTCTTCCTCTCCCGTCTTCCACTAGTGTATTTTCCGATGCGTTCACTCCGGGGCGGAACTACACGCTGCGGCGCAGGGAGCGCGGAGGAGCCAATAAGAGGAGACGCTACAGGCGGAAGGAGCACTACAACCAGCACATCTCACTCTGAACAAAAAACAGTGCTCTAAAACCTCTAAAACGCGCACAACCATCACACGACCGCGCGACATTTGGGTGACCAGACGTCCCTATTTACCCGGGATAGTTCCAGTTCTGAGCCCTGTGTCCCTTGTCCCAGCAGATTTATGCAAAAGCATTGATTTGTCCCTGTTTTACTCAAGAAATGTCCCAGGAGTCCCTATTTTTAACCAATTTTATACCTGCAAATAGTAAAGAGAGGCACAAACAGTTATTTGTTTAGGCAAAATACGAAATACAAAAAAAAAAAAAAAAAAAAAAAAGCTTAAAAATGACCAAAACACAGAAAATATGACTATACTGTCTCACGTTCGTCATGAATAGGCCGAAGGCATAATTTTCCTTAATTACGCACTCGTTTCACAGTTTTATTATTAGCAACCACCAAAAAACGGGGATATCCCAGTTTTTATTTTGAAACTCTGATCACCATACGCAACATGGACATTAAACGTATGATATTAAAGGTATCAGATTTTAAATAGTTTACCCTGCAGAAGTCCTCGACTGAACTTAAGAAACAAGCCATCCTCTGTCTACACTGATCCGAGGGTGTTAAATGTTGTGTACCTGCAATTGAGATTAGTTAAATATTTATATAAATCTATATAAATTAGCACACATATATAAATTATTTAAATATTATTACAAAATCGAAAGAACTGGCTTGGTAATAGTTTATTTATGTACCAGCGAATTTGTCTTGCATTGTCCCCGACATTTCCCAACTTCCCAGGCAGCTGCAGTACAGTAGAAGACAAATCATAAGTTTCAGGCTAAAGATTCTTTACTGATTTAAAGGATTTTGTGAGGACCTTTCCCCATGCAAACGATACATTTAGAGTTGAATGGTTTTAATTGGTATGCAGGAAGAGAGGATCGTTGCCATAGCTTGAAACCCATAAATATGGTATTTGGAAATGTATGTGGATGAGGAGCAATTAAGAAAAACTTATTTGTATGAAAAAAAGAATGTACCACTGTACCTCCTGAAAACGCAATAGATGAGAAGGTGATAAAAGACGAGTTATACTCCAAGTGCTACAGATACATCAACATGGACAAAAAACAGGTAAACAAAATTAAGCTAGTGCCTACATTTACAACACGAATTTACATGATAGGTGGTTCAAACACAATTACAGAACATTGTTTAAAAAACAAAAAAAAAAAAAACAAACAAAAAACCACACACACATGAAATTACTGTGAGGCATAAGACTTCACTTAGTTGTCTTCAGAATATAAAGCATATAAAGCACTCCGCACCAAGAGACAGGACAATCTTAAAGCAGTAGCTCAGTCAAAGGCATTAAGGTTTGTAGTTACAAAGCAACAACAGATGTCTGATCTACTGGTACAATTTTTATCCAAGCAAATATAGAGGCAATTTTGTCCTGATTTAAGATCAATTTCCTGTTTTCATATACATTTATTTGAAACCAGCTCTAGTAACATCAGATTCCATCATGCAGAACCTTTGAAAAATCAGAAATTGCTGATGAATTCAGTCTTTCACTCAAGCATGTGGTCCTTGCTGAATCTATAGAGCAGAGGAGATGCGGCTGCAATGTGCCTGCTGAGTTGCCTGCTAGCGCCCTCATGTGGAGCTGTACAGGGATATCTGCTGCATCTTGCCTAACTGAGTCAACAGCCGTTTAATGCGATGTTTGAGTTGGGGCAGACGGGCAAGTGGCTCTGGGGGCTCTAGTTCACCAGTGTAGTCCAGCCAGCTCTCCAGCACTGAGAAGGCCAAAGACACAATTTTATTCAGAAACAAAAAATACTGGTAAGAAAATGTCTGGCTTTGTAAAATTATTAGGATGTTATATGTGCCCTAGGACTATGCAACAAGTAATATTAATTCTTGAGTGCTTAAAATGATTGCACATAATGTTTAAAGTTTAAATATTACAGAAGATAAAAATGCAAAAATAATGCACAACATCAGACCATTAGCACTTAAACAAATTCTATGGAAAAAATTAGATCTTACCATCAAGTTCCCTTTCAATGAAGTCCATCCTATAAGAAACCTGATCTTGGACAGCATCAATATGATCAAGCAGGTTGAGTTGCCACTGTTGATGGTGATGGCTGTTATCCACTGCACACTTTTTCTCTTCTTTTAACTCTTCTTGAGACCAGAGGTCACCAACCTACACATAATCATACCAAACAGACACATCTCTTTATAAACACTTACACAAATACCTAACAAGTAGGTGGCAAATAGGTTAATTGCACATTATATGCAACTGACAAAAAAAGGTAATAATTTAAGACTGACATTATTTTATGTTGGAGTATTCTTACAGTGCGACAGGTGGTGCTTTTCTCACATGACTAATGTAACATCAGACCCTGTACTGTTCCCGTTTTAATTGTCACTATGATAACAGCCCTGGTGATGCCCTCACAAAATCACACAGAATTGCAAAACAAGAAATATGCAGTCTTGCGAAACTGGAAAATGTGTAATATGCATATTATTCCAATACATTATAAAAATAAAAATACCCCACATTTACTTCTCGATGTTGAGGATAATATTTAGGGCAATACTTTCATGACAATTTAAAACTAAATCGAACTATTGAACAACTTAAAAGCATGTCTCAAAGTGTATGTCTCAGAGTGAGATGACTAATCTTGGCCTGAGTAATGCTTGGCATTGAGTTGCAAGAGCTTCAATAATAGCCTCTTTTCCGTAGGGCCAGTACGGGACGGAATGGCTTGGACCCCTTTTAGGAGTTCAAAGCGGAATAATGCGGAACCATCTAAACCTAAAATTCTAAAATAATTAAATTGTATTTTTGTATAGGGGCTAAGGAGAAATATATTTCATGCAATTCAATTTTTCCCCTTCTCAGTTTGGCATTTAAATGGCATGTTTTTGCCATGGCTTGAAATATCCAGAGCAGACATGTGAGTTTAAGATGTTAATATCATTTTGAAGTAGGGGTTCCAGGTCAGTTACATGGTTATTATGGGGGTCCATGTCTGAAAGGTTTCAGGAAAATATGGTAAAGGGCCATGTGGATGGACTTTAAGCAATATTGTGGGTTTTCCCGACTCAATAAGTCACTTTAAAAACTCTGGATCAAGAGAGTACAAAAGTAAAAAAAAAAAAAAATGAGTGTGTCAAGATACAGGGTAGAAGCCCTGGGAATTGGTTCAAATGGTCGTACAGATTTGAGTAACCCTGTTAACTCTTTCAGAGCTGCAGGACAGGGATTTGATAAATTATGTTATCAACTGAAGGACAGCATGTACACCTGAGCCATTACACATGAATCATGATATATATGTTTACACATTTTGAAATTCTTATCACCTTGTTGCAAGTGGTCGGTGACTTGGGTTTGTCTGAGTGAGGCAGAAGACTGCCGTAACGCTGCTCTGACTCCAGAAGCACTTCGGTACTCCTCAGATTGTTTTCTACTTCAGAAGCTTGTCTGGTTTCCACTACAAGTCTCTGCTCCACAGCGGGGTAGTAGGCTCTTGGTTTTTGGTAGCAATGGTCACTGGTAATGTAAGAGTCCTGAAAAGAGGGGAATGGGGAGGAGGAACAGGATGAAGATGAGGTGTGGGCTGTGGCAGCACGACTCAGCTTCTCCAAAGCATTGGACATGAGAATCTCTCCTCGGCTCAGGTCCTCATCTGGAGTCGCTGGAGAGGGAGCCAGATCACTGCCTCGGCATGAATCAGAGTCTATGTGAAAACGAGCCCTCTCTGCCTGTTTCCAGGGCTGGCGCCACAGCTGCAGATCAGGGTGACTGTTGTTCCTTCACAATCAAGAACAATAACATTAGCTAAATTAAGAGTTCAAGCATTTCTTCTTTAATGTGCTACAATAAAAAGGCAGTGGTACTGACTGTAACACACTCATTTTGAGTTGCAGTCCATTAAGGATCTCCACCACATGATGCACATCTCCCAGCAGTTGATGAGTGCTAGTTATCTTTTTAGCATTCTGATGAGAGTAGTTCTCTTCCAGGAATGAAAGACCAAACATGTGACCATTGCTCAACCACTCACGTTCATACCAGTAACGCTGGCTTTGTCTCTGACCTACCAAAAGAAATCAAAGTAAATCTTCCATAATATATTGATACGGTTACACGTGTCAAGCAATTTAGTAATTTATATGTAAAGTCTAGCTAATTGACCAGCATTTGTGGGGAGGAAGTAGTCTCACCTGGAGGATCCCTGCAAATATAGCACGTATATCTGTCTGGGACATTGTCTTCTAGTAAACCCATACAGGTGCCATGCTGCCAGCACAGACACTCTTCACACTAACACAAGAGAAGAGAATTACTTGGACACTGCTGGCTGACAACTCAAATCAAAAGGAAGTCAGTCACCCACCTGGATCATGAAGTCATTCTCTTCCTCCACCTCACAGATGCAGCGTACAATCTCTTGGTCACTTGTATCCACAGCTCCCGAGTCAATGCTCAGAGGTGGGGTTGTGACATCCAAATCTCCAAAGTCATCATCAGTCCACCCACAACTGTCAGTTGACCAGTCACTAAAACTATCCTCATCTATAAACAGGAAACAGTCAAAAGGTTTATCCAAGATGCTTATATCACCAAAACTAATTAATTCTGTAACTTTACAATTTAAAGCTAAAGTGCTGATTATGTAAGCAAAGAAAAGCAAAGGATTCAATTCATCTACACCATTGAAAATAAATGTGTACTTTATGAAACTAGACTAGGATCAAGATGGATTGAATCCAGTAGAAACAGAAACATGAAGGTAAAAAGAGAAAATGAGACATGGCAATGACAAATGAGAGCACCCTCAGATACCCACCATCCTCCCGTATATGCTTTGAGAAGTTCATTCCAGACCTGCGGGACCAGGCCTCAGGGCTGTGAA